AGCTCCCAACAAACATGCATGGTAGTGCTGTATCCCTCTTAGAGTCGAAAGTCCGCCCCGCTGCTAAAAGGGTCGCTCACCTCTCGATGAGATCGAGGCGCAGCTGGCGGCCGTGCGGCAGAGAGCACATCTCGAGGCCGCAGGTGATGCCGAGCCCCAGATCGGCCTCCCAGCCGCCTCCGCCACCGCCGCCGCCGCCAACGCCACCCACCTGCATGCCGCCCCCGGCCGTGAGCTCCAGATCCACCCGCGTCAGGTGGTTCGCCAGCACGCGAGGGCCCGTCTCCTGCAACAGAGCCACCGGAGAGCCGTCAGTCTCAAAGAGCGCCACTCAATCCAACAATATCACACGCTTCAATGCTTTGATTGAGTGATGGTTCCAGGCACTTCAACTGTCATAGTCGCTAGCCCCATTTGTGTAGTGAATGTTCCATCCCAGTAAGTGGCGTTGTTCCTTGCCCGCTCGACGGTGAAATCCACTGTCGATCTACACGTAGGTTCGCGAGGGATTTCCTCCCCAATGTAACTCCCTCAGCAGGGCACTTCTCCAGCCAGGACAAGCTCTAATCTCTCGTCGGGTCTCGCGACATGTTTGGTAGTGTGGAGCCTGTAAGTGGCCTCAGTGGGGGCTCTTTGCAATAGACAAGGTCGGCTTATTTATGTGTACTGGTTTAATACATTTTACTCAAACCTCATTTTAACTCACTCTTGAAGTTCGTTTTTAAGTATTTTTCACATGGAAATGTAAACTAACAAATTGTGATACCGTTTTCCCGCAAGGAAGCATTCGATTTCCAACCATAGCAGGAGGAAATTGCTTGTTATTGACAACCGGAGAAAGTGATTATATGTACTATGTACTTATTATTGTATTTTAAAATTAATACATGCTCGTTACTAGGTATTTTTTATTTAAATCCGTTTTTATGATATTATGACTCATAACGTGAATGAACTACTACGCAGTTTTCTCGACTTAACGAGACAAATAATAAATAAACGACAACTTTAGAACAATTAGAGAATTAGTTCTGCTTTGAGTACTGTTAAACATCTTGCTAGTGAGAGAAATGATTTAAGAACACTTTACAATGTGGTATGTATTCCACAGAAAGTAATTGAAGAGAGACCCAATTACAATTCGGACCATCCATACAAATCTCAAAGAAAAAACAAATTTACAATGTAGATATCTTCTTGAAATGAGGTCCACTTGTTAATGGGAAGACTCCTTTGGAATGTGATACGATGTAACAATTGTTTTGTAAGTAAAATTACAACAAAAATTTTGGAACCAAAGGGGGGGGGGCATGTGACCCCTTGGACTCGCTGTTCTTTAATCTCTATTTTAGCTTTCCTGAAATTTGATAACGAACTGCTACTGATAGTCCTCGATATTAATTTATGTTTAGACAAATTCTTCTAGAGAGATATTATGGAAAAATATAGAAAAAATCTATTAAAAATATTACGGAAAAATCTGAAAAAATTTAGGAAAATCTAAAAAAAAAAGTATTGTGGGGGTTTCGCGGAATTTTATTCAGACTACTTTATTTTGTTTCAAATTTCGTTTTGTTACGAATTTGCATAGCACAAATAAGAAATGAACTTGAAAATTCCCGTCGAAAGGTCATGCGCCGTGCTAGGTTAGTTATCGCCCCTCCTTTTCAATGAGCGCAGCAGTGCGGGCGAGCGCTGACCTGCAGCATCATCTTGAGGCTCTGCAGCGCCGACGTGTCGAGTGGCTTGTTCTCCACAGAGGGCAGCAGCAGCGTCACGAAGTTCTCCAGGTCGAAGGCGGTGGCTGGCTCGGGGTCGGGCACGGCCAGCATCAGCAGCGAGTCCTCCGCGGCCGAGTCGTACTCGAGGGCGGGGCCGAGGCCCCCGCGGCCGCCGCCGCCGCCCCCGCCCGCGCTGCTGCCCGAGCTGGGGCGCCGCGAGTGGCCGCACAGGTAGCGCGGGTTCTTGATGACGACGCCGCGGTGCGGGGGCAGCGTCGCGGCGCCGTCGGCGGCGTCGCCCGCCGCCGAGCTCTGCGCAGAGGTCGCCGGAGCCGTTTCCCGAGCGGACCCGACGCGTGGTAAGCTGCCACGCCCGCTGGAACGTGCCGGCGACCCACGGAGGCGTGCGGCGGGCAGGGGGCGTCGCCGGAGCCGCCGCCGTTCTCGAGCCCGCCTCGGCGGTCCTTGGCGTCGGCCCGTAGCTAGCGACGGGATGCGGTGGCGCTTGGCGGCGCCGTGGTTCGGGGAGGTTGGCCAGGTTCGGGCTCGTCGGGTCGGCCTGGTCATGTAGCCGAAGCGGCGCCGCTCCTAGCAGGGCTGAGCGGCGGGGTCGCTGGTGACCCGCACCAATGGTCTTGGCCGGCGGGTGCGCGCGCGCGTCGGGGGCCCGGCGCCTTGGCGGCTAGGAGAGGCCTGCGGGCCGGCAGCGGGCAGGCGAGTTGCGTGGAGACTTGCCGTTGGCGCCGTCCCGGCGTCGGAATGGACGCCGTCGGCGCTGTTAGCCTGCGCTCGTTGGCCCGGCGCGCGCGGGAGTGCGGCGCCGGCGCCCGGGCCGCGCCCTCGCCGCGGCCCCGCCCCGCGCCCGTGCGCCCGCGCCGCCGCCCCCGCGGCGCCCCTTCAGCTCGCTGGCCTTGTTGATGTTTCATTAGAGACGAATAAGAGGGATGTTCCGAGGAGAAGCGAGTGCGAGCGCTGCTTCTTTGGTAAGGCAGCCGCGGGGCGGTCTCCCCGCTTGCTTGCGGGGCGGCGATGCACGGGGACTGGCGGTAAGTGAGTTTGTAGGGTTTGTAGCGCAGCGTGCCCGACTCCGCGCAGCGGCGACGCAGGGAAGAACACCACCCCGCGCTGCCCGCCCCGACGCCGCCGCCGACTTGCTGGCGCCTGCGGGCATTCCACTTGCTCAGAGCGCGCTCACACATTGACATTTTGTAACAACGGCAATATAATCAATGAATAATAATAATAATGAATAATAATAAAATAATATAATAATAATAATATAATAATAATAATAATAATAATTATTATTATTATTATTATTATTATTATTGTCATAGCAACTTTTATTTCTGCTCCATACATCTACTTAATGGTAGTCTCATAATTCTTTCATTCAACAGATTTTTGGATTATATTATTGTATTAAAAATTTCTACAAATCAGACGCACAAATTACACGCAGTTCTATTGTTAAAGGGCTACCTTAAACTCATTTTTAAATATTTACATGAATATTTGAAAAATAATAAATTTCTAAAGTATTAGTTTTTTTCAAAACAATATACCTTCTAGTGAATTATTGTTGTCTTGCTGCGAGGAGAATATTTTTATCCATATAACAAAGTTTTATGTATACACTTTTCAATGTAGTGCCTCTAAATTATGAAGTAACTCAACCACATCTCCACACGCACAATGTAAAAAAGGGTACCTGCCGAGCACCAGTGCACGAGAAGTAGCCTAACACTAAGGAGCAACTCTCAGCATGCATGTAGCTTTATTACAGCTTGAGATTTCCCATCACTTGTTTAGTGACAAAAAGAAATAATGTTCTTACCCTAAATGCCCTGGGAGATTGATACATTCTTTGGTGTCATTTGCAGAAAAAAACTATTTAAAATTAACTAATATACATCACTAATGATCATTTAAAAAATTAGAAGCTGTATAAGTTTATAATGCAAGGGGAATCAAATATACAAAACACCCACATAAACCACAACACTTCACATCAAGATAGTTTCTTTTGGGGGTTATAGACAACTAATTTTTATTTATTTATTTAACGGCAAAACAGTTAAAACTGTGTAATGTACTTTGGGAATAGTGCAATCTGTGCACAGTTTCTTGAATTCTAACAACTATGCCCAATCTCATCCTACTTAAATTATGAACGAGCAGGTAGCAACGTGCGTTTTTGGTGCGCATTGATATGAAAATATTCTCTTAGGTGTAAAAAAATGTATTTGCTTAGGCAAATCAGCTACAGATTTGGGTTATTTCCCCTTACCATGCCCTTCGTGCCAGAATGGATTTACTGCCGTGAGAACATGAGTAATGAGGCTCAGGGTTTTTCAATTCCCAAAGCCGCGTGTGCTCTCTTTTTCTTAAATCGAACGCGTTTCATACGCTAACCGATGTGATTTAAGTGTACTAGCAACCATCGGTGGGGATTCCATTCTCACTTTCCCCTAACCAACACTGAGTGTGCATCGTTCGGAGTGGCACCCACCTGGAGGCCGTACTTGGTGGCGTAGAAGGAGAGCGGGTACTGCCTGTTTCGCGGCGTCTGGATGCGAGCGCCCGACATGGAGGAGATGCTCTTGCCGGAGCCCACGTAGAAGGTGATGAGGTCGGGCACGGTGTCGTAGCAGTCATCCTCGAACTGGAACTGCACCCGCTCGTACACGGTGTCCGGCTGGATCACCACCTGCGGCACGAACGGGTTGGGTACTTAGAAGAAGAAGGGTATGCTGCCAAGACACTGTAGGTCCTACATGCGAAAGAAGGTGTCGTGGAAGAATCCATGTATAAGAATATGGCAAATAAATTTAAGAATGTTGAAGTGCTTATCAAATTAGAAATGATGAAACGTTTAAGAGGACAGACACGTCAATACTGTTTTCTCATAAATGTACATAGAGATAGAAAGAGAGAGAAAGAGAGAGAAAGGGAGAGAAAGAGGGAGAAAGGGAGAGAAAGAGAAAGAAAGGGAGAGAAATGGTGAGAAAGAGAGAGAAAGGCCAGCAAAAAGGAGATAAAAAGTGAGAAAGAGAGAGAGAGAGAGAGAGAGAGAGAGAGAGCGAATGAGAGAAAGATATAGAGAAAAGAGCGAGAAAGAATGAGTGAGAGAGTGATAGAGAGAAAGTATGTAATTGAGAGAGTGATTCAGCGAGAGTGAGTGAAATTGAAAGTGGTGAGATACATATATTTTGCAAGTACTGTTTTTCGCGTAGTTATTTTAACAAATTATTGTCATCTGCCTTACTTCAAGTACACACACACACACACACACACACACACACACGAGTATCAAGTTCATATTCACATTAAAAAAACAACAACATACTTCACAGTTCCTAAGGGCTCTTAGAATCGGTGTTATCGGAAAGGCAGTGCTTAAAATAAGATCCTATTATGAATTCCCAGATGTTGTCCTCATATTTTTAGAGCCATTAATCTCAGACAGTGATACAAACGCGTTTCAATCCCACACCCGAGGATGCATTCGAGTGTTCAGCCACAACGCTGTGCTTGGTTCGCCACCTGCGTCGTTAGGAGTTCGGGCGCGGGATGCGGGCGAGAGGGCGGGCGGCGAGGGAGGCGGCTTGACGGGGAGACATTTGACTAACGAGCGCGGTTGTTAGCTGCAGTGTGTTCCTGCTGTCGCAAAGGGAATAATAAAGGGCCTCGGAAACGCCTGGATGCGTACAGAAATGGGCGCTTAGCCGCGCGGCTGCTCACGGACCCTTAACTCTCTGCCGCAGATTTCCGATTCGCAGGAAGATCCCTGCCTCTTCGAAATACCGAGACTCTTCCGACTACAAATGTATTATTCATATTCAGGTGACTCCACACATTCGGCGTGCGGTGAGAGCCGAGCCACCGTTCGCCGAATCCCATGTAGTGGGGCTTGCTATTTGCCGGGCGCCAAACATTTGGTGGTATCCGCATCCTGTCGGTTGATTGAATTTTTTGATTAGTGGTAGTTAGATTCCGTTACACAGATACGGTTATTAGTCCCGTAAGTGTAGTAAATGTCATTTCTCCGCTGGATAGCGAGATCCGGCGACGATCTACACGTCAAATAGTTGTGTTTTCTCAGAGATCTCCCACCAGCGGGGGATAGAAGAGGAAGGAATGATCGCGCGCAGTCCATGGCCCGTTTGTTAGGGTACTGTTCCCACGTTCGCATGGCTTTTATCCGAGAAACCACGAAAAACTACTGATCAGAGCTAGACGACCCCTAGAATTCTCCTCTAGTCGGTGGCTGAACGTGATTTAGCTGAATGAGTAGTGTCGAAAACCGTCACTGTCAGGACTCGAACCCTCTACCTCCCGGTCAGTGGCACTGCAGTGACATTAGTTGTTGCCCTGAGCCACCTAAGTCGGTCATCCTGTCGATATTTTGGACACATCAATCAAAGGAATTGCAAAATTCTTCGAGCACCTCGGTTACTCGGGATTGGGCGAGCAATATCTCGTTACTCCCTGAATGCAGACTGAGAGCCTCCTTAAAAATAACAGGACTGGTGGGGTATATCCTTAATCGAGTAGTCCACGTCTGTCCGTCCGTCAGTGACAATTACACCATTTCCGGTCTGCAAATCGTGACAAATGAGATATCATTCAGTGCATGCCGATGGGGAACTGATCATCGTTTAGCAGATCCATAAAAAAATGATGAAATTTCTCCAAAAGAGTATGTTTTTTGACTAAATTAAAACGCGATTTTGGTGACTTACGCCACCTACATATATGAAAAGTATCCCATTCGATTATTCTCGACAAGACAAATTAATTTGCATACTTTTTGACCGTTTCACTCTAGGATAATCTGAGAAAATCTAAAAAAGTTATTTTGTTTTAATGCACCTATGAATACATTGGTAAAACTATGTAAAATATTATTCTGTTTCTGTCATTTACATGAATTGTTTAATCTTGAATTATCAGATTGATGATAAAGCCAATTTTGTGTGTTTTTAAAAATTTAAAGTGTTTCAATCGTTAGATTTTCAAAAATGTTTATGTGCCTAGAAATGGATGAGCCTGGCAAATGTAATATGTCTAAAATGTATTTTTATTATGAACTTACAAAGCACAAATAATTTTTTACTTGTATCTGCCGAATACTCCACGCTAAGCTAGTTTAAAATGTTGCAATAGCACTAAACGACTTCCTTTATTTGAAGCAATTGGTTGTAGACTTATTATATAGTTTGTTTTATAAAAAAATGTCCACCAAAGCGCTAGTATCAAGCATCCCATTTATCTTTGGTGTGATTGAAATACGACCTTTTACCAAATATAAATTTACTTCCAACTGCGAAGCTTCAAATAACATTAGTAATTAGCATATTAAAATTGATTAGCTTCATGTTCACCACGTTGTTAACGTGATATTTTTTTGTTACAGATCAATTATTCGAAGGAGAGAATATGAAAGCTGGTGAGAGAAATAACTCCATAAGTGTGCTAGAGAATCGTCTTGCGATATGCAATGCACAGTCGGCAACATTCGTGGGAAGAAGTTTGATGGAACACAAACGCACGTAAAGAAAAGA